CTGTATTCGTTATTTCTTCTTTGTCAGTTCCATCAAGAAAAGTTCTGTTGGCACAACCTGTAACTGTATGACTCGCATTATTATCTACGTTCAGTATTTTAGCTGCAAGACTTGAGCCAACATTCACAAAATAATGATTAAATCCATTTACAATTTCGTTCTGATAAAAATAAATAAATAAATCATTGGTATCTCCTGTACATCTCATTCTTCTACTGCTGCTGTTACCCCCAAAACCCTGTAGGGAACAAACCACCATTTTATTGACTGCTAGATTGATGTTTTCCCATATTTTAGGCTCCTTCAACCTTGTAAAATATTATATCTTAGCTCTTTTGATATTGTAGGCACTGGACTTTGCTTTATCAGCATGACGGTTCAAAACTGTACGTCAGAAAGAATTGCAACTAACAAGTGGCTTGGAAAAAAAAGCTGTTATTTCAATTGAAGCATTTAAATAATTTTAAAATGAAGGCAAAAATACTGACTAAAAATATTGACACTAACAATTTATATGTACGGTGGAATTCATTATGCCGACTGTTCTCAGCAGTCCCAGCTTCAAGCATAGATTTTTTGCTACTTTGTTGCGAATTAAATGTGTTCACATTGTCCATTGTGACAATCCAGTATAGTGTGAGTTTTGTACTCTAAGAAAGAAGCCTAATATACTCTATTTGATTTTTATTTAAAAACGCTCTGGACCTAGTAGTGGAATTTTCTTGATTGAAATTATTTTATGGTATTGCAGTTTTCCAAATAAATGCTGGCAAAATGACACTCTATGCTTTTTTCCCCCATTCCTGTTTCAAGTTTTATTCTGATTTCATGATATATATCATTACCACCACCCATCACAATATGTATCGGGATATGAATTTTATGCCATATTGCACATCCCTAGCAGACGGGGAAGACAGTTGTTGGAGATGTCAAGATGACATTCTGTGTGTTATTGATGCACACTGTTGCATCTTCAGATGTGAGGATGTACTGTCTGAGAAAAAGGATAATGCTAGAAGTACACAGCTGTGGAACAAGTGAGTAAATCTGACTGCAGACAAAATATTTGACAACTATGAAAAAGAGTCATTAATTAAAGTTGAACATGTAATGAAAGATAATGATATTTTCATTGAAATTGAGATTGACAAATTAAGCTTTTGTTCATTGTATTATTGGTTGGGTCTCATGATTTACTGGTATTTTGATACCTGCAAAATATTTGAAAGAGTGTTGTACTTCTAAAAATACTACCCCTCAGGAACTGTAAGTAAATATGTAAATTTCATGAAAGGTCATCCTAACATACTCAGTGAAATGAAATGATATCAGGCCACTCTAAGAATGTTTGTTACAAGTCAGGTTTATCTACAGCCAGTATGAGTTTGGTCCACAGAGATCCAGAACATCAAGGCCGTTCAACTAAACTGCTGTTTACTGAAAGCCAGCAGCTCAGGGGCCGGGCATCCAGCAGTTAGTCATTCTGTAAATAAACCAGGTATTACAGTGATATTCATTCTACCTTTGTTTATAAAGGTTAGTCTCATTGAGCCTCGAGGACTCATTTACAAGAGAGACCTTACACCAAAGAACACAGATGACAACAGTAGACCAGTTCTGTTCAGTTCACTTATTTAACCAGTTCTGTGATCGTGACCCACATCAAAACGACCATCAACGTCAGCAAAGACCCTCACCAGTATGCATACCGTGAGAATCGATCAACAGAAGACGCCATCTCCTCTGTGGTCCACACTGCTCTCACCCACCTGAAGCAGAAGGATTCTTACGTCCATATGCTCTTTGTGGACTTCACGTCTGCCTTCAACACCATGATCTCCCAAACCCTGATGGACAAACTACTCACACTAGGACTAAGCCCCTCCATTTGCAACCTAGACTTCTTAGCAAACAGACCACAGTCTGTGAAGATCTACAACCTCTCCTCCTCCACCATAACCCTCAGCACTGGCTCTCCTCAGGGCTGTGTGCTGAGCCCTTTCCTGTTCACTCTGCTAACACATGACTGTGCAGCTACCCATCCAGACTGTCATATTGTAAAGTTTGCAGATGATACAGAAGTGGTGGGATGCATCACAAACAATGATGAGTCCAGCTACAGGCAGGAGGTAGAACACCTGGAGAGCTGGTGCAAAGAGAATAACCTTCACATCAATGTGAAGAAGATGAAGGAGATAATTGTGGACTTCAGATGGAACAAACACACCTACACCCCCACTGAACATAAGAGGATCTGCGGTTGAAGTGGTCTCCAAGTACTTGGGTGTGCACCTGAAAACCTCAGCTGGAGCAACAACACCACCAGCCTGATCAAGAAAGCTCATCAGAGACTCTACTTCCTCAGATGGCTGAGACGAGCTGGTCTGGGAAGCTCAGTCCTCACCTCCTCCTACAGGTGTGCAGTGGAGAGCATCCTGTGCTCCAGCATCAACGTGTGGCATGGAGGCTGCACAGCTGCAGAAAGAAAAGCTTTGCAGAGAGTGGTGAAGGCTGCACAGAAGATGCTGGAGTCAGTCTCCCCACCGTCACAGACATCTACACCTCCAGATGCAGGAAGAGGGCCACCTGCATCATGAAGGACCCCACTCACCCAGCACACACACTTTTTGCCCCACTCCCCTCAGGAAGGAGGTTAAGGAGCATTAAGTGTAGAACCACTAGACTGAGGAACAGCTTCTACCCTGAGGCTGTTAGACTCATGAATCTCTAACCAGAATAATCACTGTGATGCCACTTGATTGTTGATATTTGCTGCTGATTATCCATGCTGCTGATCTCATGCTGCTGATCTGTTTCATGTTGCTGTGTTCATTCGTACTCATCTGCTCACACAGACTCATGTTCGTGTTTGTGCTGATGTTCGACATATTGTTTTTGTTCTATGAGTGCTTAGTGTATTTTTAGTTGATGTTTTTCTTAGTTCATATCTTAGATGTTATTACTGTTTTTCTTTTACATTTTATTGTTGGAACTGAGACCCTGTGGACATAATTTTGTTCCACCACATGTACCACGTGGTGCAAATGACAAATAAAAAAACTCTGACTTTTATGTGTGTGTGTGTGTGTTGGGTGTGATAGATCAGTGGTTAAAGCGCTGGTCTTTGACCGAGTTCGAAACAACTTTTACAGAACAAAACTATTTTAATTGCGAGGGTTCAGCAATCCTCTCTCTCTCATGGGTCAGACAGTTTCACATTGTTTTAATTAATTTAGTCGTGCATTGAAGCCAATAAATTATCCCCCTTTTGGCGGGGGTGCATGTGAGCGTGGGAGGCGTCCGTTTTTATGATTTATTAGACGGGACTATTTTTCATGAGACACAACCTCTGCCCACAGGAGGAAGAGAAAAAGTGGCAAGTTTATGTACACCCCCCCCCCCCCAACTAAAACAAGAAATTCAACGTTAAGCAACATATCATTTTTTGACCACAGAAAATTAATACAATTTGTAAAAATTGTACAGTTGGATCTGTTATCTTTTAAATTGGTTTATTTTGCTGCTTTGAAACATAAATCATATAAACAGAACGTAAAAGTGTAATTCAAAGAAATTACATTTCAAGATTTATTTCCTGGGCAGCACGGTGGAGCAACTGGTAGAGCTGCTGCCTCTCAGCGAGCAGGTCCTTGGTTCAAACCCCGGTCCAGGGGCCTTTCTGGGTGGAGTTTGCATGTTCTCTCCGTGCATGCGTGGGTTTTCTCCGGGTACTCCGGTTTCCTCCCACAGACCAAAAACATGCATGTTAGGCTGATTGGTAACTCTAAATTGTCCCTAGGTGTGAGTGAGAGAGTGAATGGTTGTTTGTCTCGTTTGTCTCTATGTGTCCCTGTGATGGACTTGCGACCCGTCCAGGGTGTACCCGCCCCTCGCACAGTGATTGCTGGACATGGGCACCAGCGACCCCCGTGACCCAAAATGGAATAAACGGGTAAAGAAAATGGATGGATGGATGGATGGATTTATTTCCTTGCAAAGTAGTGATTGTCTGTCCATCCGTCTGCATCCATCTGTATGCATCCATCCGTCTGCATCTATCTGTCTGCATCCATCTGTATGCATCCATCTGTCTGCATCCATCTGTATGCATCCATCTGTATGCATCCATCCGTCTGCATCCATCTGTATGCATCCATCTGCATCCATCCGTCTGCATCTATCCGTCTACATCCATCTGTATGAATCCATCCATCCATCCTCTTTACCTGCTTCTTCCTTTTCGGATCGTGGGGGTCACTGGTGTCCATATCCAGCTCTCACTGTGCGAGAGGCAGGGGACACCTGGACAGGTCTCCAGTCCATCACAGGGACACACAGAGACAAATGAGACAAACAACCATTCACTCTCTCACTCGCACCTAGGGACAATTTAGAGTTACCAATCAGTCTAACATGCATGTTTTTGGTCTGTGGGAGGAAACTGGATTACCTGGAGAAAACCCATGCATGCACGGAGAGAACGTCGACCTTCTCACTAAGCGGCGGCAACTCTACCAACTGATCCACCGTGCTACAGTGATATTCTAATGTGAAATAATATAAATAAAGAAAGTGACACATTATGTCTCCTATTTGACACAAATGCCATCTCTGACCTGCCAAATCTTTACACTTTAAAATAAATAAATGTTGAGTATTGTTGATGTTCTTTGAGTGACCCACATGTTTCTGTTTCAGGTGGGTCCAGTTGTTTTTACTCATTTATATTTACACTTTACATCCAAAGCAGATAAAAGGTTTGATTTGGTCACCTTTTGGTTAAAAATGGTGGACTGTGAACACTGATCCAGTGTTTGGGTTGAAACTAAGACGCGTTAAATCTTTTGACCAATTATTTGGTCAAACCAACTCAAACTATGACCCAACAGCTTTACCTCAACCATAGTCATAAAAAAAAAAAGCTTGCAATTTGTAATGATCTTTGTGTTGGAAAGGTGCCATATAAATGATCTTTACTCCACTTCTTCCCCTGACAGTCATGTGGTCATCAGAGCAGCGTGGGCAGGTCTGACTCATACCACCATGGAGTCCTCTTCTGAGTCCCAACAGGAGCCCGAGAAAACTCTGGTAAGTAGGCTCTGATCAAAGTGTGCATATCTGAACACTTTTCATCTTATTTGAACTCTTTTAAAAGTATCATAAAGGCTGAAAGAACAAATAGCTTAAAGTCTGAGGTAAATGTGTCCAGTTGTAATAAATTAGTGAAGAATTATGGCTTTGCTTTCACTGTGATTGAACAATTTTTTATAAGCCTGAAGAAAACTGTTGGACTTCAAGTCAAATGAATATAAAATTTGCAAAACATACATTTAGTATTCTGTCTCCACAAAATGCAGCTCCAGAACCGGGTTTTAAAACACCAAATAAATAAACGATTAGAGCTGAAAGCATTGCGAGTGTTATTAGAATAACAATGCTTTCATACCTTTGTCTCACCAAAAGTTAACCTTAAGCTAAATAAGGTTAAATTATTTATACAAGGGCTGTAGCAATCATTGAAATGAGTTTTGTTTATGGATTTTGGGGCTGTGTGTGAGGAAAACCAGTTCAGAGCTCAGTGGATGCAGACGTCAGAAATTCTTCTGAACTTGGTAAATAGAGAAGAAATGTCTATTTATTCATTAAAGATGCCAACTCGACTGATGCAGGAAAAAACATGTATAATAAAAATAGTACTTTAAAATTGAACTCATTTTGTTCTTTTCAGCTTTTACCAATGTTTTCTAATGTACAACTTAAAGGGCACGTCAAGTAATGTTGTTTGGAACATGACTGAAGACATATTCTTTAAGTTTTTAGCTCTAAGAAGAACGTTTTTTAAAACTAAAACCAACATTTTAAAGACATTTCAAACTGGAATTGTAAATATTATAAACATTGAGCTGATCTGCTCACCTCCTGATGAGTAGTTCTCACTTGGCTAAAGTGGATGTTAAGGATTGCTGCCCCCCACTCTGGAGCGAAGAGGGGGACTTGGAAACACCGTCCGTCCATCCATGAATCTTGTGAGCACAATAACGTGAAAATTAAATGAGGTACCAACTTCCTTTTTGGTGTGTGGCTACAGCTAGTCGTAAGAAAGCTTCTTTTCAAAAATAGGGTTGCCAAGTTAAAATCCAAGATGGCCACCACATATATATCGTATTTTCCACCGTACATGTCTCTCCGCCCTATAAGTCGCACCAGTCCAAATATGTTTAATAAAGTGGGAAAATCCATAAATACGTCGCTTCCCTGTATAAGTCGCATCTATTATGTGTCACCGCTGATAGCCCGGAAATGTGGGCCGGTGTTGTGCCAAAAATAGATTGACTGCCAAATGGCGGCCTCGGGAGCATGCATGGGAGGACTTTGACAAGAATTTAACAAGATTAACACTTATAAACAATTGCGTGTTTGCTCTAAATTATAGTAAAGGTGTGTCTCAGTCTAACTTTTGCTTAATAAATGCACTTTGACGGTCAAATCAGCTGCATTTCAAAAGCTGATATACGGAAACATGAACAGGTAGAGAGACGACTCGCTGTGCATTTCTTCCAAATTTAACACAATAACCACCTAAAAACAATTATGTTTGCTCAACTTATAGTAAAGGTGCGTCTCAGTTTAACTTTTCCTTAATAAATGCACTTTAATGGTAACATCAGCTTTACTTCGCTGGGCCGACGCAGTGAAATGAAGCTGATTTGACGGTTGCTCCAGGCAGACGACGGTGGCAGGCTATGGCAAGCTGATTGTGTCATTAATAGCCACTTTTACCTATTACATGACACAACGGCATGCCTTACTACTCTGCTCCCATCTAGTGGCTGAAAATGGTATTGTTCAATATTTTCAGTCCGTATGGATGAAAACAATCATATCTCAGCCAAAAAGTGGTTTATAAATATGGAAATAATCCATAAATGGGTCGCTGCGGTGAAGTTGCAGGTCATGCAAATTATGGAAAAAACTGCGACTTATAGGGCAAAATATACAGTCTGTATATACGTATGTATGTGTATATATATATATATATATATATATATTTATATAATATGCAGTGTTTCCCCTACCATTATACAAGTGGAGCAACCCACCTCATTAACATAATCAAGTTCCCCACCTACCTCCCCTGATACCCCCTGATAATTATCCTAATATCACGCCAGACTTCAGATTCTTCATGTTACTTGCTGGTATCAGACGTATTGTCCTCTGACCTTTAAAGGACCATTTAACGTGTTGTCGACCTCACAGGCTTGTGCGGCTCAGTCTGACAGACTCTACTTCATGTAGCTGAGCTTGTCTCGGAGCTGGTGTTGCTCAGTGGAAGACCGATGCTCAGATGATTAAAGGTCACTCGTGTTGATTCAACATCCTCTTTCCAAGAAACAGGGAGGTGATTAAGCAGCTCACTAAAAATGAAAAGGACACCATCAGAAACACTTCTGTGTTCGGTGCTACGATTTAAAGATTGCAATTTCATCACATTTCTTTTTGTGAACTCACAAATTTACCATTCACATGTTTAATTCCACTTGAATAGTAATCTTCAGGAGCACATTTTGTGCTGAATAAATTGTCTTGAACCTGATGAGTGGGTTGAAGACAGTGTCTGCTCCGCTCCCCTGCTCCTGCACAGACAATGGAACAATAAGACTGAGGAGGAGCAGTTTCCTCTTTGACACTCGCTTTAAGTGGGAGTGAGTTTTAATAACACTCTGTCAGTACTGAAAGCTCATTTCTTTACCCACCTACTGCTCTCTCTATTTTCAAGCCTGTTTAATTAATCTACTGATGATAGTTTAATTAAACAGGCTTGAAAGTCACATTGATAATTGTTCTTTTGAATATTTTGTTAGATTAAATTGGTGTTCACTGATTGCTCTTAATTGTGACTTAGTCTTTGAGCAGGTGCCTGTGGCAGGGTGTTATTCCTTCATCACACATTATAAGTGGCCACACTGCTGGATGGTATTAGACTTTGATGGTTGGATGTATTGTGCTGTTTGCTCAAAGGGCCTGTTGATAGAGAGGATTGGGCCCAACAGGAGATGAAAGGCTCTAAAAAACACAGTAGGTGCCTTTTGTTTCTCACTGTGTCTCCCTCAAAGCATGTTACCAGTTGGACCGTTGTCATTTCTACTCTCCATACTGTAATAAAACCACTCAAGATGAAAGAAAAAAACACATAAAAGCAAGTAACAACATCAATATAACGTTGAATAATGTGGTTTTTATGTAGCAGGATCTGTGATGAACTTTGCGACCTGTCCAGGGTGTACCCCGCCCCTCGCACAATGATTGCTGGACATGGGCACCGGCGACCCCCGTGACCCAAAATGGAAGAAGCGGGTAAAAGATAATGGATGGATGTAGCAGGATCACTCACAATACTTTGAGTGAAATACTTTTATCACAATCTAACAAAATAAAGTCAGGTCCTCTGGACAGATTCTTCTTTGTTGAAACAATTCGTAGGTCTGTCGCGATAAACAATAAATCAATTAATCGCATGATAAATGAAAATTATTGACCTCATTTTCATTTATCGGCTTTATCGTTTCTTTGTGTCTCTCTTTCGACCGAAGACACTGGATGACAAAAAGACTCAACTATGGTGCTTTTCACTGACCCCTCCCTTTTCTTTTTAAAATCCATTTTAACCGTCCAAAATCACATTTTTGGATCATTAAAAGCAGCTAAGCTGAGAAGCTAAGCTACGAGCTAAGCTAACGGGCCGACCTCGGGGAAAAAAAACCTCCGTCTTGTCAAAGCTCCAAAATTCACAGTTGAAACCTGTGCATTCATGTAAAAAGTTGTTTTTCTCTGCAAAAAGAAGCTGAGAACTTGTTTACTGATTTTTTTTTTTTTATTAAAAGCTTTGTGTGAAAAATGTTATGCTAAAAGAGCTCAAATGCGACCGCCATTTTGAGAACTGAAGAGAGACAGCCCATGTCACGTCAAGGGGTCTCCCTCCCATTTTTCTTAAAGAGACACGCTGCTTGCTCCATCACTATCCATATTTTGGTTCAAACAGTCTTATACTGCCATCCGGTGGTCAAAAAAGGCACTACCCACAAAATGAACCAACATTTCTTCTTAAATTATTTATTAATTTCTTCTTTCAAACAATGTTATTGTTTATTGCAATAATTTCTGAGACAATTATTCACCAGCGAAATTTGTTATTGTGACAGGCCTAACGATTTGGCTTTTATCCAAAAGACTTCTTCAGTCTGAGGAGCTGCAACAAACTCAGTCTTAAACCTTGTTCGCACGGGATTAGTTTTACCTAGGGACCACATGCTATTTGAGATAATTACAGAGATAGTCTGTTTTGTTAATCCTGTGTGAATCAGCCATGTCAGTAATTTGTAAAGTAAAAATTCCCCTGCAAATTCCCTACTATATTTTGCTGAACTCTGAGGTCCTGTGATAAAACTAATCCAATGTGAATAGGCATCTCTGTGATTTGGACAGAAATGCTATGGGTCAGATACGTAATGAAGCATTTTTTGTTTTTGTTTAAGCAAAATCATTTGGAAAAATATAGAACAAGTCTATTTTAAATGAACACGCTGCTCGTTTCAGCTTTTGTAGATGCTGCTACTTCCTTCACTGCAGATGACAGCAGGTGCGGAGACGTGCGTCTGATCAGCTGACTCTTCCATCCATTATATTTATACGTTTCTTCCTTTTCGGGTAGCAGGAGTCACTGGCGGTGCCTATGTCCAGCCATGACTGTGCGAGAGGCAGGAGACACCCTGGACAGGTCGCATTTTCATTTCAAACCGGTGGGTCAGCGGCCGCTCACGCGTGCGTGCAGTTACAGCTGTTCATCTGAGCTTATTGTGGCTTTTTTTAAACCTCCTATTTAAACCGGCCGGTCGGACCTGCCTCCTCCTCAACAAGTAGATTAACATGATTTTATATTGTGCATTCTTTAGTTTTCTTTGTGCTGATTCGTAAAACCACAACAAAGCCCAAGACCGGCCTGGCCCACACATTAAGCGCATTATATGAACTGGCCCAGTCGTGACAACGCAGCACGTTAACATCATATCCGGAAGATGTCCGTAAAT